AGGGCCCGCTTTCTTGTTTTCCCGGGGGTGGGGACCTCCGGCACCGGTCCGCCGGCGCCGGGCGCGCATACTCACGCCGCCCGGGTGCGCCATTGGGGATGTGCCGCGCTGGCTCGAGTCCCTGGGGCTCGCTCTCTGCTGAGCCGTGAGGGCGCCCATCCAACTGGGGCCCTGCCCCTCGCGGGGCCGCCCTACTTAGCTGTGCTTTTTAACTTCCCAGAGTTGACTGCCGCGGCGGCACAGTTCCTCTTGCCGCTTTGGAACGATGTATTTTGTGTGCTAGTGTATCCGATGAACGGAGTTTAGCGATGTCTGCCGTGTGCTGTACGGGACTTCGTGGAAGGTGGTTTACTGTATCCAAACCGAAATTCTCGGACGAAGACTTAACCATTGGGCAGACGTTATGCTGCCCAATTGTCATGCCCCTGGACTGCTATAAAGTTGATTAAAAACCTCAGTGGGATTAAATCGTTAAAATGACTTGAAATTCACCTTTATATCAAAGTAAAACGTTTTATTGACTCCGTTTCAAACTTTTTACCATAATAAAATGAAAACAAGTTACTGCCATTTGTTGAAAGGCTGTTGCGCTGAGAGATTTGCAGCTTATCTAGCGGTGCCCTTGGAAAAATTAAATTTGTTGGCGCCAATTCCTTAAATTATTCTAGATTGCTTTCAAGTTTTAAAATCCGATGGCTGTTCTGAAATATTAGTGATAATGTAGCGAGTTTTTGTGATTTGATTCCAGGTCAGTAAGACCCTTTCTCTTCCAGAATGATATTAAACTAGGGACTCCATTAGCAGCTTCCCTTATGACATGGAATATGTTAACCATTTCTTTCGGTATCTGTGTCCTGCTTCCCTACCATCTTTCAAGTGTTGCAAGGGCAATGTGATTAATGGATTACTTTATACTTTCCATCCAGCCATACTTTCCTAGAAGGATCACTTGAGTTAAGAAAATAGAATTAGTGGGGCAGCGTTTTTGGAGCAGCTGTGAACCCAGAAAGTGTAGGGGACTGGCAGAAAACTTTTTCTGATTTGCTATACCTGGAAAAGATGATAGTGGTATTATTTTAGTATTTGAGTTTTTATTTTAGTATTTAAATATCTGAAAAATGTTGTTTTCAGAAGCTAGGAGATAGTTTTTCTGGATACTTAATAACCATTATCAAAACACTTCCTCGCCTAAAATCTGACTTCTGCTAATAAAATTTTTATTTATTCTGAATTAGCTTTTGATAGTACCTGTCTTAAAGGTAAATAGTATACCTATTAACATAGTTTTTATTTTTAAACAGACTCTCAACCAACCAAAATGAAAGCATTAGAAAATTTTTCTTGGCAACATCCTATTGTAAAAACACTGACCTTTGTCAGAAACAGGTTGGCATTACTCTTCCTTACAGTTACAGAAAGGTGGACTGGGGGTTACTTTGGGTTTTTTACTTTGACATTTTAGAACTGGCTTATACATTGCATATTGGTAACAGTGGTGATCAACTATATTTTTAGTGGTATACAAACAAATATGTGCATGTTTGGACATCAGTGATAAATGCAGCAAACATATGGTTTTAACCAAGACAGTGAACTAAAAGTTCAATGTAACTAAATATGTAACTATTTAAGTATATATTAAATATATAATAAGAGGCTTGTGACTGGTTTTTATCATGAGACTATATTCACTTTTATGTTCCTTGTCTTTATAGGTTTTAAAATCAAACATGGGAAAATCGGAGAAAATTACCACTCCCCACGGGCAGCTTGTTCATGGTATGCACTTGTGTGAACAACCAAAGATAAACAGACAGAAAAGCAAATATAACTTACCACTAACCAAGATCACCTCTGCAAAAAGAAATGAAAATAACTTTTGGCAGGATTCTGTTTCGTCTGATATAATTCAGAAGCAGGAAAAAAAGCCTTTTAAAAACACTGAGAACATTAAAAAAAAGCATTTGAAGAAATCGGCATTTCTAACTGAAATGAGCCAAAAGGAAAATTATGCTGGGGCAAAGTTTAGTGATCCACCTTCTCCTAGTGTTCTTCCAAAACCGCCTAGTCACTGGATGGGAAGCACTATTGAAAATTCCAACCAAAATAGGGAATTGATGGCAGTACACTTAAAAACTCTCCTAAAAGTTCAAACTTAGATCTCGGATTTCAGTATGTATGTAAAACATAGTTTTTCCCAAAATCCCTGAATTCTTGAAAAGAAAATTGGTACAGAAATGGAAATTTGCCTTGTTATAACCTAGGAGGGCAAAAGATGGGTTTTAAAAAATTACAAACAGCTTGTATTATGTTTTATATTTGTAAATACTGTATACCATGTATTATGTGTATATTGATACTTCAGAGGTACATTATAGTTTTGTTATGAAAGTATATGTATTTTGCCCTGCCCAAATGGTAGGTGTTTTGTATATATATATATATACAATGGAGAAAATTTTAAGTGTGCTAAGGCACATGGAAGACCAATTTATTTGCACAAGGTACTGAGAGATTTTTCAAGAAACAGCTGTCGAATCTCAAGGTGAAGATCTAAATGTGAACAGTTTACTAATGCACTACTGAAATTTAAATCTGTGGCACAATCATTGTAAACATGAGTTTGTCTGTTTCTCTAAATTGATTTCTGCCTTCTAATCTGTAATTACTGGAAAACTACTCACGTTTACTAATCTTAATTTCTGGTTTTTGGTTTATATTCATATCCAAATTTAAAATATCTCTTAATTTTAATGCCAACAAAATCGGTTGTAATCAAATTCTAAAATAATAATTTGGCCCCTTCCCCCCCCTTTATAGTCTTGACTCTTTGTGTGTGCCTGTTTTTCATGTTTGTGTGACTAGGAGGTGGATTTTCACTTTCACTTTACTGGCTAAATGTGTTTAACTTTATATTAATTATCCATCCTCCATCTGGAATTTAGAGGGTTCCATAATAATACCTCTTAGGGAAGGAATTCCCCATTTTACAAATAGAAATGGTTGTGGTCAAAAGTAAAGCTGATTAGTTGATAACTTAGAATATATTTATATATGAACTGTTTCATAAAGTACTATTTCACTTGACCATACCATACATTTTTAGTGAAAGAAATGACAATTGTTTGGTTTGCTGGATTTATATTGGTAATGAATGGTGGTACTTGAACCAAAGCAAGCATAATTGATGTTAAAATAATAGATGCAGATTTGGATTCTGAAGCTTGCTTGAAGATAAATATGGCAGCTAACGTATTTTTGTTAAAATTTAAACTGTTCTTTTACTTCGTAGTATGTAGTTTTTAGTTACAAAAAACTAGTTTATCTCAAAAAGGAATTTTTTTTGAATGGGCAATATTTAGACATGAAAAGGAAAAAGGTGTTAAGAGGGTATATAGATTCTATAAGGTAGAATAAAGGTGCTACCCTCCTTACTAGAAAAAATAAAAGGGTTCTATGGTTTACATTTTACCCTCAGACTATGCAAAACCAACAAAGGATGCTCACATGGCCTGCAGAGTCTTAGGTCTTACCCTCCTGTGCCATTTGGTTCACATGGGAGAGGAGGAATTCACTTAACTTTATGGCTGTACAAAGGTTGGTAGTGGTGTGGGCATCTTAACTTAGGATCATTATTGACTTGAGTAGTGAGCGAGTATAACGTGTTACAGCTGCCACATAATCAGAATTAATAATTTGCTGTCTTGTAGATGCAGCTCATACGTAATTCAGCCAACCATTATTCTTTAGCACTGGCTTTGTTTTTTGTTTTGGGTTTTTTGGTTAATTACCTGAGGGTATTTTTCCATTGATTTTTAGAGAGTGGAAGGGAGAGAGACACAGAGAGAAACGTCAATGTGAGAGAAACATGGATGTGAGACACTTGCCAATTAATTGGTTGCCTTCCACACATGCCCCAACCAGGGCCAGGATTGAGTCTGCAGCTGAGATACATTTCCTTTATGAATAGAACCTGGGACCTTTCAGTCTGCGGGCGGGTGCTCTATCCACTGAGCCAAAAACCAGCTAGGGCTGGCTTTATTCTTTTATGTATGTAGAGAAAGCTATACTTCATTATGTGTGTGTCACACACACATACATAGCTATATATAGCTGGCTTTAAAAATGCATTTAGAGAAGAAAGATACTCTTTTTAAAAAATCTTTATTGTTGAAAGTATTGCATGTGTTTCCCTTCTAACCCCATTGACTTCTAGCCCACCCCAGGCCTTCACCCTATTGTCAATGACCATGGTTATGTATATGTGCATACAAGTTCTTTAGTTGATCTCTTCCCTATCTGCCACCCTCCCCGGCCTTCCTTCTGAGGTTTGACAGTCTGTTCAATGCTTCTATGTTTCTGGATCTGTTTTTGTTCATCAGTTTATTTTGTTCATTAGATTATACATATGAGTGAAATACTTCTTTCTCTGACTGGCTTATTTCACTTAGCATAATACTCTCTAGGTCCACCCATGCTGTTGCAAATGGTAAGAGTGCTTCCTTTATTACAGCTGCATAGTATTCCATTGTGTAAATGTACCACAGCCTTTTGTACCCACCCACCTGTTGATGGGCACTTGGGTTGTTTCCAAATCTTAGCTATTTTAAATTGTGCTGCTATGACCATAGGGGTGCACATATTCTTTCTGATTGCTGTTTCTGATTTCTTCGGGTATATTCCTAGAAGTGGAATCACTGGATCAAGTGGGAGTTCCATTTTTAATTTTTTGAGGAAACTCCATACTGTTCTCCACAGTGGCTGCACCAGTCTGCATTCCCACCAGCAGTGTACTAGGGTTCCCTTTTCTCCACATCCTCGTCAAAATTATTTTCTAGTAGGTGAGCTTTCAGCCTTGTAAAAAGACTTTCCAAGGGAAGTGTTAACTGGTAAAAAGAATGACTAAAATTCTTGAAGGCATGACATAAGGAAATAGGTATTATCCTATCTAATAATAGACAAAGATTGAAATTATACCTCCGCTACACTTCCCATTGGCTAATCAGCGAGATATGCAAATTAACCACCAACAAAGGTGGCGGACGGCAGCCATGCAGCTGAAGCGAAACAGGAGGCTTGCTTGCTCCAGTGATGGAGGAAGCCAAGGTTCCCCGCCTGCCACGGCCCGGCTCTGAGCTCTGAAAGCAGCTAAGTTTCAATTATAGAAGCTAAACCAGGGGTCCTCAAACTTTTTAAACAGGAGGCCAGTTCACTGTCCCTCAGACCGTTGGAGGGCTGGACTATAGTTTAAAAAAAAAACTATGAACAAATTCCTATGCACACAGTGGCGGCAAAAACACCTGGCGAGCCGGATGTGGCCCGCAGGTAGCAGTTTGAGAACCCCTGAGCTAAACAAACCCCAGATACCTGCATTTAGCCAGCCGCGGCCTCAGAGCTGGGAACACCAGTGATGGTCACAATGTTTCAATTATAGAAGGTAAATAAATCCCAGAATAATAATTAAAAAAAAGAGCCTGGGAGCTTCAGCTGCCAGTGGGCTTGGCCAGCCTGAAAACTCTCAGCCCCTCAGCCACACTGGCCAGGCACCCCAGTGGGGACCCCCACCCTGAGCCGGGACACCCTTCAGGGCAAACCAACTGGCCCCCACCCATGCACCAGGCCTCTATCCTATATAGTAAAAGGGTGATATGCAAACTGACCCTAACAGCAGAAAGACTGGAAATGACTGGTCACTATGACACACTCTGACCATCAGGGGTCAGATGCTCAATGCAGGAGCTGCCCTCTGGTGGTCAGTGCGCTCTCACATGGGGAGCTCTGCTTAGCCACAAGCCAGGCTGATGGCCGCCAGTACAGTAGTGGTGGTGGGAGCCTCTCCTGCCTCCTCAGCAGTGCTAAGGATGTCCGGCTGCAGCTTAGGGCTGCTCCCCGCTGGCAAGTGGAAAGCCCCCGAGGGCGGCCGGGCTGCCAGAGGGATGTTTGATTGCCAGCTCATGCCCAATCCTCTGGGGAGCAGGCCTAAGCCAGCAGGTGGTCATCCCCCGAGGGGTCCCAGACTGTGAGAGGGCACAGGCCAGGCTGAGGGACCTCCCCCCACCCCCGCCCAAGTGCACAAATTTTTGAGCACTGGGCCTCTAGTCTATGTAATAAGAGCCTAAGTGACCTTTACAGTGGAATGACCAGAACGACCAGTAGCTATGATGTGCACTGACCACCAGGGGGCAGACCTCAAAGCAGGAGCTACTTCTTGGTGGTCAGTGCGCAAAGTGCTGCTCGGCCAGAAGCCAGGCTCACAGCTGGCGAGTGCAGCAGCGATGGCTGGAGCCTCTCCTGCCTTTGCAGCAGAGCTAAGGAGCAGGTGGACATCACCCAAGGGGTCCCGGACTGCAACCGGGCCTGTAGTAAAGTAATAGATTTTATAGTTTGAAGAGTGAACAAAACGAATTAGGCTTCAGATAATGTTTAGTGAAAAATATTAAAAGTTGAATAGTTTTGGTGTTACAGTAAAATACTATTTAGCAGCCTTAGTCCCTTCTAGCTGCTGTCACTAAATACTAGAGACTGGGTAGCTTATATACATTTGTTTCTCACAGTTCTTTAGACAGGGAATTTGAGCTGATTTGGAGTCTGGTGAGAACTCACTTAAATGGTGTCTTTTCATTGCATCCTTACATGGCAGAAGGGTGAGGGAGCTTTTGGGGGACTAATTTTTTAGGGCACTAAGGCCATGCATGAGGGTTTTGCTCATGTTCTAATCACTTCCCAAACGTTTCACTTCCTAGTAATCATCACCTTGGGGTTAGGTTTCAATATAAATTCGAACCATAGTGCAACCCAGTTATTATTCAGCCACCTTTATTTTTCTCCCATTGAAGTCTCTGATAGAATTTTTTCCAACATTTCTATGATTATATTGGGGGTTTTTTGTGGGTGTAAAGCAAACATTGCGTTTGCAGTCATGAGCTTCAGACCTAAATTGTAGTGGCCTGAAAGGGGGCTTGTAAGAGGTGAAAGGTTTGTAAGTCGAGTATGTGAGTAGAGAAAATGGTTATATGAAGTGGCACTTCAGTCTAGAACAGTGGTCGGCAAACTGCGGCTCGCGAGCCACATGCAGCTCTTTGGTCCCTTGAGTGTGGCTCTTCCACAAAATCCCGACTTCTGCGCATGGGCCACGAAGTTTCAATCGCACTGTACGTGTGCGCCCGCATGTGCTATTTTGTGGAAGAGCCACACTCAAGGGGCCAAAGAGCCGCATGTGGCTCGCGAGCCACAGTTTGCTGACCAACAGTATAGGTGAGTAGGCTAAGTAAAGGACAGGCTGTATCCCCCTTATCCACAACAAAATGCCTGAAGAGGTAAATCAAAAGTAATTTTTTTCTCCCAGAAGGTAATGACTAATTCTGGTTAAGCGTTGTCTAGTTGGGAATCTGACACCTTAGAAGTACCATTGACTTGGACCTTAAAACATTCAGCAGTATCGGACATGAAAAGAACAGGAAAATTGTCAAGAGGAAAAAGTCTGAGCAGACAGTTGTGTGAAAAGATGTAGACTAGTTAGTTCGAGAACTGCAAGGAAGGAAGGTTCAATGTATTGAAAGGTGTGAGGATAATAACATGGAGGGCCTTGAATGTCATGTTAAAGAGTTTCAACTTTATTCTGTAACCATGGTATAGCCATCAAAGGTTTGAACAAGGGAATGAGATTCCTGCTTCAAAAGGAAACTAGTGAAAAGACAGGGATAAGAGGTTTTCTTAGTCCAAGATTTGAAATTTGGTAAAACTATAATAATAAAAGCATAATATGCTAATTAGACCAGACAAAGCCGGGGCTGTGAGGGAAGCCTGGGTCCCAGG